CGTTCTTTCTAGAGACCTGTGATTTATTGCCTGGCAAATCTACAACCCTATCTTTAATTTTTTTTTTTTTGTCTTAGCACTTTTTTATTTCGCAATTAGCCTAGTCCACAGCCATTGGCACCAAATAAGGTCATGCTTATAGGAAAATTAAGTAGTGACTTTCCATGTATCAAGAAAGTTGATGATGAAAGATGTAATTATGTTTGTGTGTGTTGGGCATCCACCCGTATGTAGGGTTTTTAGTAATGTTTTGATCTCACAGATGGCAGGAGGGAAAGATCTGTTGAAGCAGTATTGATGTTTATAAAAGGTAATTAGTAATTTTAAGAAGACTTTGCACAAGCTAAATTGATGCAGACAATTGGAGAAAGTGCGGTTATGTATTACTTTGCAAAGCAGACTTTTTTTATTTAAATAAATACTTGCTAAATTTTTAAAATGCACACAATAGCACAACCAATCAAGTGAGACTGGGACACACCGGTTGAATTGAATTTTCTATTCTAGAGAAGGCTTGAATAGGTGCAGAAGAAAGAGAACATTTTGGGTAGAAGGGAAGAACCCTCCCCCCAAAAAAGTGAAGGTGAGGGCATGACAATGGCCTGGCTGGGCTGAGTGGACAGTTAACAAGGGTTTGCTGGCCAGAGAATCAGGAAGAGACAAAGAAGGGTTTTACTGGGCTTTGAAGACCAAAAAGGATAGTTCACATTCAATGTTGTAGGAAACAGGGAACTGCTGTAATTTTTAAAATGAAAATTCAATTGTGTAAACATTAATGAAGACTAATCTGGTAGACATAAAGTTGGAAATGCATATTTATAACAGTTCAGGCATCTTTAGTGTTATGATGAAAGATTCTACCCAAATTAAGCAGATAGGGTTTGAGAGCTCAGCCTTGAGTTACTGACTATTTGACACTGATATTATATAGTAGAACCCAATTGTAGATAGGAATCTAGAACACTTTCATAGTGTTTTGACTAATGTTTCTGTGTATACCTATATAAAGTTACTCCTATATGCATATACAGGTTTCCATCGAACATGGAAATATGCTTGCATTGTATGCACTTAAGACCCTCAGAAATCCACGGAGTTTGAGAAAGTGGCTACACCGCTATTTTATTTTTCATTGCAGCTTAGGCAGAAGCTAAGCGGGAATTCACGTTGCTCTCTTGCCGTTCAAATCCATCGTTCTATTCTTCTCCCCACATCCTCTCCCCATAGGATGTTCCACCAATGCTTTCCATCCTTGCAGTCCTTGGGCTTCACGGTGGTCCTCCCTTTGGGACCATGTTCCTGTCATATGTGAGGCTCACGTTGCCATTCTGGCTATCACCTTGGTGCCTGTCAGATGACTCCTGGATGCCCTGCTCGGACCCGGCCAGTACACACCCCTCTCGCCTCAAGCGGGTCACGGGAACCCCACCACCCAGCACCCTGTAGCCTCCGCGCCTCACGCGGTGGGCGACCTGCCCCCGCTGGGCCCCCGGCACGCGTGTGGAGTCCAGGTCGTGAAAACGCAGACGCTCTGTTCTGAGATCATGGAGACGTGACCGGGGATATGGATCGTGGGAATGAGAGGACGGTGGTGAACCTGGCGCCACTTTCAAACAAACAGACAGTGACCGGCGGTCAGTGTAAAGACAGTGAATCCGCCTCAACTGCACTTACTCTGGGCGGCCGAGGTGGGGGCGGGCGCTGGCTGGGAGGGTTGGGTCGCACGCACCCCTGCCATGGGAGACTGGGCGGAAACTCGTTAGACAGCTGGGGACAGAAAGTGCATTGACCCGACACCAAAACCGGAGAACCACGAGTCTGAAGGTAATAGCCAAAGCCTCAAGGACCACTGAGACTTTTAAGGGGAAAAGTGAACATCAGTAAGGAAAGAAAAGAGCAAAGTGAATGGCCAGGTCTTGGAACTTGAGAGGCAGCAGAAAGAAAAGGACGCACTGTGGTTACAGACAATAGTCGTGTGAAATGAGCAAGGAAAAGTCGGAGGGGAGGATGAGCAGCGTTGAGTGGTCTTAAATGTGCCTGGAAAAACCAGCATCAGGGTGCTTGGGGTGAAAAGAGCAGCCAGCGCAATGTGGGAGCGTCTCTTCTGTTTATGTTAAATCTCTCATGAGAGATGTAAAAGCAATAAGCTCACCAATGACTTAGTCTTTGTTCTCTTTAATAAATAGATTGCAACAAGTTGGTCCTTGCAACTCATACCTTTATTTGCAAAAGAAATAAGTGTAGATTATGGGTGTGATTTACATAATATACAGATTACATGCTTCAGATAATTATGTTAATATTCTGCATATAATAATTTTTCATTTATTGAATACCTACATTCAATAATGTAGAGTGTTAATTGTTTGTACATTTGATACTATTGAATTCTTGCAATTACCTTTTGATGGAGGGATGACTCTGTGGTCCCCAATCCCTGACCGCAGACAGCACCAGTGGCCTGTTGGGAAGCGGGCCGCGTGGCAGGAGGTGAGCAGCAGGTGAGTGCAGGTGAGGCTTCGTCTGTATGCACAGCTGCCCCGGTGCTGGCATCACCACCTGAGCTCCCCCGCCTGCTCTGTGGAGATAACTGTCTTCCATGAGACCGGCCCCTGGTGCCCAAAAGGTATTAATAACCTGAGAGTAATGAGACAATGTTCTTTAAGTAACTTAACTGAAACCACACAGTTAGCAAGAGTCTTCAACAAGAACCAATTCGTAAGTCTGACTTTTAAAGCCTGTGCTCATAAAATAATTGAAGGATGGATGAGTGATCATTTGCCTAAGCACTTGAGAAATGTAATGCTATCTTGGTACAATTAAAGGAAAAACAACCACAAAAGTTCATTCCCTTTAGATTTACCAAAAGTGAGAAAATTCTCCAAATTTTTGAAAGTGTCATATGATGCCAATGCTAATTGGCATTTTTAAAAAAACTGATCTATGATGTCTGTCACAGAGCAACCATGCAAAATCTGGATAATAAATGCATAGATGAATGAACACTAGACTCTAGCAGGAAACTGCCTTCATCCCACGAGCCTGAATTTATGAGAATTATGCCAACTAGTCTTCATTGAATCAGAAGGGTTATAATTTTACTTTTGATAGTTGCCAACCTCTATTTGAAATCCCATCAAATAGCCTTTTGTTAAGATAGTTGGAGATTAAAAAACACAGTTCAAAACAAAAACAACAAAAAATTAGTCCCAGTTGTTGCTCAGACAACATAAAGGGTGGAGGGGGCTTCTTAAGTCCTTGGAATCAGGGTGCACGTCTCAAATGCTTCCAGATTTAACAGTGTAGCTATAAAGCTTTTCTGTTTCGGCCTCCTGGATGTGAATCCTTTTACTGCAGGGTTTCATATGTGTTTGTGGAATGGCATCTTTCCCATTTCACCTGACAGAGAAATGCCATTTCATTCTGTGCAAACCCCGAATGAGAATTTTAAGGAAGCTGAATACTGGGTGTGCTCGAGTGAGCAGAAGGGAAATGAGGGTTTGTGAGCATGAACAAATGATTATCTGGGCACAATATGAGAGAAAGAGATGAGAAAACTAGATACTGGAACACTGTGAGACACAAACAGAATCGAAAATGATGAAATCTATGGCATTTGCGCATTCAGTAAATTAAGATGAACATGTTTTTCCAAAAGCTAAGCAGTCTCCCCATGGATGCATTGCTTCAACACAAAGATTATTAATTATTATTTTAACTAATTATTAATAATGCCCACAATGATGCCTGCATATCTGTGGTTGTTCTTCCCTATCCACTACAAAGGGATTAGTGTGCTGTGCCATGCATGTACATGAATTTAAACACGAGAGATTTCTTAGACCTTGAATTTTCCAGAAGTTTGACTCTAACTAGCACTTAATTTTCTTTTACTTTTTGATAATTTCCCATTATACTTATTTACTATTCTGATAAGCAAAGTAGGACCAAAACAACTAACCAAAAAAAAGAAAAAACAAACAAAAAAAAAAACAAAAACAAAAGAACTCCAACTAAACCACAGATAACTTTGCAGAACAGAAAATGGTCCCAGCCAAGAGCTGTAAGATCCACTCTCCGGCCACAGGTTTCACTAGGCGTTGTGTGCCTAGCTAGGCGAGTAATTCATCTTTCTGACTCTCAGTTTCCTTTAGCTGTAAAATTATGCTTCTATAGATTCCTTTATGCAGTTCTTCCAGCTCTAACTCGTGTAATCTCATTAGAATCTACGTGCGAGAAAGTTTAAATCATCTAAATTTAAATCCATGACGTGAACAATATCTTTAACGTTGATTGAGTGAAAAAAGATGCCCTTGACTTAGTTATTGCAGAACTCTTCTCTAGCAAGAGCACCTGAAGTGGCTGCGGGACTGTTGAGAATGCCATCCTCTGCCGGCACCTGTTTTGTTATTGTGATGTGCCGTCACTTAACTTGAGAATTTTTTCCTTGACTCCTCGTAGATAAGTCTGGATTGGAGCTAGTGAATTTAAGAAGAAAGTGTTTACACTGAATTCTCCCCACATCTCACTTGCTTTAAAAAATTCCCTTCTCAGTGCCTGTCTCTCTCTTGCTTAGCCTTTCACGGAAAAGCCCATCTGGGTTCCCTTGGGCTGTCCCTTCTGTCCTGGGGGGGTCTCTCCTTCCCACCTCCTGTATCTTGTGTCTTCAAGCCTTGTTTTATGGCAGATAACTTATAAACTATGATATTTGTAATAATGGATGCTTTGAGAATCTTAGGTAAGTTATTTACCTTATAACAGAACTCGGGCTAGATAATTATAAAGGTATTTTCTGACCACGTTTCCATTGTTTCTCATTGACCTTTTAGCATTCTTAAAATTTTGAGCATGTGTATACTTATGCCACACCCTAGGAACATAGTTAACAATTTTTATAAGTGTTTGCAATGAAAACTAGGAAAAAATAATAATTCATATTTCTAATAAATAGAAATAACTTCCTGCAGGAATAAGACTAAACCTGTTGCATTTCTTTTCAGCTGTGTCCTGTGGAATCCCAGAATCCCCAGGAAACGGCTCCTTCACGGGGAACGAGTTCACGTTGGGCAGTAAAGTGGTCTACGAATGCAATGAGGGCTTCAAGCTCGAGGCCGGGCAGCAGGCGGCGGCCGTGTGCCAGGAGGACGGGCTGTGGAGTAACAAGGGGAGGCCGCCCAGCTGCAAACGTGAGTACTCACCTGTGCTTGCCCATCTCGGCAGGTTTGCAGGACCCGGATCCAGTGGGGAGCGCGCTGTGTTCCAGGGTGCAGGGGTCCCCTACCCCACTGTGTGGGGAACTTGGGCTCTCTCATCGTAGCGATTATTAAAACCAGATCTATTCCGTGTAAAATGCTCCAGCTGTTTAAAATGAGCTATGCACTCTTGAAGATTAGATGGATGCTGTTGGTCCCATCAGTGTAGACACCATGTAATTTACACAGCCAGTCCTGTTCTGAGATGCCATTTGCAATCTGGGGAGATGGAATCTAGAGGAAATTGAGACATTAAAGCCCAGCAACAGCCCTCTGCACAGATATTAAAATGTAATTCATTGCGAGTTTTCTTCTTCGCCCCCCATCTAATTCTGAGTTCCTTGATGCCAAAGACAAAGTCTAATTTATCTGTGTCTCACCTGTGCTGCACGGCGCATTGAGGCACAGTAAAGAAAGCCCCAGTGTGATTTGCAAAGTGAGGTAAGTTTTCTAGAAAGCCGTTTATGGTCTATGATGATATTCTTACAAAGGTCAAAAGTGTGTGTCCATTCTGGAAACCCAGTCTTAAAAAAATAACAAAGTCTATATTGCAAAGTGAAATAAATGTTCTTTCTCCCTCTCTTTCTCTTTCACACACACACACACACACACACACACACACACACACACACACACACGTCTTCAGCAAGATTTTCATTGCAGGCATATTAAAACTAGCCTCAAATTGGAGATAACATAACTTCCCACTTTCTCTAAGTTGGAGACTATCTCCTATTTCTATATATATAATGGCATTTTTGCTGTAGCAAAATAAATGATTTTATTCCATAAAATGATTTTATAATTAAATACTATGCTGATCCCTTCTGCCAGAAATCAGATCATTGGACTCTTTGTGTACAGTGTTAGTTTGGTCATGTTGAAGAAAGTGAACTACTTAGATATGAATATATAAGTGTCCATGGAAATTAGTGGAATCCTTACCACCAGTCTTTATTTTTCTTGCTATCCCTTTCATCATTTTTATTGCATTTCCTTACATGCAGTTAGGCAATATTGAACAACAATAATATTTCCTGCTTATTTTCAACTTAATAAGGTACTGTTTTATTGCAATTAAGTAATGCAGTGGAGAGCTAGGCTAGCAAGATGCATTGGTATGATTTATGAGTTCCGTCCTAAACAAAATTATTCTCGTAGAATAAGAACTTAATCTGACAGATGGCAATAACACAAATGTTTGGGGTTGATTTTAATAAGAATGACATCCCAGGCATTTAAAGCAGTGCTCATTTTGCACGTAGCTTGGAGATCATTAATGATGTTGCCACTTTTAAAGTGTGTACTACCTGCGAGATTTTTCGAATAGCTTGTCTATAAATCTCATTTAAAAAAAAAAAAAACAGCAAAGGTGGGTCACTGGTTACCTTACAAACGAGGTAAAAGCTACTAATTTGCAGAGTTGGGTTTGAATTCCACTCTCTTTTGTTTTAATTTCTATGCCATGTTCCTCTACTCTGGGCATGCATTAAAATCCTCTGCAGAGCTTTAAAGTAAATACTAGTATCCAGGTTTGACCCCTAGGGATTCTGAGTTAACCAGTCTTGGGTGGAGACCAGGCATTCGTTTTTTATAGATTTTTTTCTTAAGTTCTCTGGGTGTTATGCTTAAAATATCAAGTATATGCTATTCCTTTAAAATGGGTTTTGTAGGAAAACTCATTTTAAATATGTCTACTGTCTGATAGAGACTTGATGAATGACAAGGTAACTACACAAAATATAATTTTTATTTTCACATCTTTTGTGTTTTTGTTTAATAGACTTTCTCTTTTAGAGTTTTAGATTCAAAGCAAAATTGAGTGGAAAGTTTAGAGCAGGCGTCCTCACACTACGGCCCGCAGGCCACATGCGGGTGTTTTTGCCTGTTTGTTTTTTCACTTCAAAATAAGATATGTGCAGTGTGTATAGGAATTTGTTCATAGTTTTTTTTAAACTATAGTCCGGCCCTCCAATGGTCTGAGGGACAGTGAGCTGGCCCCTGTTTACAAAGCTGGAGGCCCCTGGCTTAGATGCTGCGACATGTGCCCTGCCTCCCGACCCGCGACATGCACAGCCTCCCCCGCTAGCCGCGCCCCCGCCAGAGTGGTGTGAGTGCTGCAAAGGAGGAGCCCACAGTGACATGTCGTCACCCAGAGACAACGGCTGACATTAGGGTTCACTCTCATGTGGACATCGATGGGTTTGGACAAATGTGGAGTGACGTAGATTCACCATTACAGTAGCCCACAGAGGAGATTCTCTGCCCTAAAAATCCCTCCTGCTCCATCTGCTCATCCCTCCTTCCCTCAACCCCCGAAAACCACCGATCTTTTTGCCCTCTCAGTATTTTTGCCTTTTCCAGAATATCATAGAGTTGTAATCCCACAGTGAGAAAAGGCTACTGCCTCTTCAGATGGGCGTCTTTCACTCGGTAATACACATTTAAGTTTCCTCCTTATATGCGTCTTTGCATGGCTCTGTAGCTCAGTTATGCCTGAAAAATATCCCATTGTCTGTATGCACCACGGTTCATGTGCCCATTCGCCTGCTGAAGGGCGTCTTGGCTGCGTCCCAGTTTTGCAATTATGAATAATGCTTCTATAAACTGCTAGGCATTGACTTTTATAGCCTTTTATGCTTGTGTTGTATTTAAATATAAACAATTTTAGGCACACGTGTAAACGGTATACGTGCATATCTGTGTGTGTTTGTGTTTGTACTGGGTATGTGTTTGTGTGCATATATATTTGTACTATGAGGCAGTAGATTCTTTTACTGGCACTTAGTTTAATTGTTTTTGTTTTTCTCTGGAAAAAAAAAAGTCCTCTCAGTTCACTATTTTTAGCCTAATTGAAAAATGATGTTTTGTGGCCATCAGTCCTCAACCCCTTTGATCTCTTGGTTGGCTTTTCTCTGGCTATCAACAGTGTACACAAAATCTTCAGAAAACCACAAAAAAAGAGTGCAAAGGCCGAGGAAAAATCGCCTGCGAAACGCACTTCAACCCTTTTATATGCGTTCAAACTATTTTCCTTCCACCCGTGAAAATGAAAAACTTTTGACAAATTAAACTCAGCAGAATTGATTGGTGTTAGTGACAGTGCATGAGCTGGCAGAAGGGGCTGAGGGAGCCCCACCCAGCCACCTGGGCAGGTGCCTCCCTGGGCAGAAGGGAGCAGCCCGGGGGCTGCAGGTGGGCCTGTGTGGGTGTGGTCTGAGCAGCGGGTGGCCTGTGATTGGCTGAGCCTCAGGGACCTGTCACAAGAATATCCTCTTGGTTAGGTTGCAGTTTGTTTTTTGTTTTGTTTTGTTTTTCGAGACAGAGTCCCGCTTTGTTGCCCAGGCTAGAGTGAGTGCCGTGGCGTCAGCCTCACTCACAGCAACCTCAAACTCCTGGGCTCAAGCGATCCTACTGCCTCAGCCTCCCGAGTGGCTGGGACTACAGGCATGTGCCACCATGCCCGGCTAATTTTTTCTACATATATTAGTTGGCCAGTTAATTTCTTTCTATTTTATAGTAGAGACAGGGTCTCGCTCTTGATCAGGCTGCTTTCGAACTCCTGACCTCGAGCAATCTGCCCACCTCGGCCTCCCAGAGTGCTAGGATTACAGGCGTGAGCCACCACGCCCGGCCTAGGTTGCAGTTTGTTTCCATCCTAAGTTAGGCTGCAGTTCACAGGGGAGGAATGTGAAGATTTGTGGTTCTCATTAATCCAATCAAGAAAGGGTTGACTTAAGAATGAGCATACTTCAGGGTGGGGCAGGGAGGGTACTCCAGCCCAGCGAACTGGTGGTGCTAAAGCCAGGTATCTGTTGGAGTGCCCCTGGTAGAAAAGATTTATTGGGACCGCCGCCTTAGGTGTGTCCCCATTGCTGAGAGGCTGGGTCTTAAATAGCCTTTGTTCACAGTGAGCTGGAGCCGGGCAGCATAACCCTAAGGATGCAAGTTGTTTTCAAGGTGACCGTGAGCAAGGAAAGTTTCAGGAAAATCACTTTCCAATTGCTGAGCGTCCGGGTTTACGCTTCCCTGGATGCCTTGTTTGCGTGCATTCTCTCAAACAACGTGTTTCTCTTCTCCATCCTTCTCAACCGTGCTTTATGATAAAAGAGATGCCTAATTGTCACCTACGGTGCATGCCTGACAGCACCTGGGATGTAGGCTCATGATGCTGACAATAGAATTAAAACCGCGATATGGATACAAGGAAAGGGGAGTGGCAGAGATCAGGAAAAATATTTATTTATTTGATTCTTGAATGAATAAAAATATTTATTTGATTCTTGAATGAAGGTGACACTGCAGCGCAGCAAGGGAACAGATGGTCTCTTCAAAAAATGGCCCAACTGGGTACCAGCGTGGGGAAATGGAACCTGCCCTGTATCATGGTGCGACCAAAGTCTCGGCAAGGTGATAAAGACCTCAGTGCGAAAGGCAAAATGCAAAGCGGCAATACAAACCCAGCTTCATGGATCCCACCATCCTAGCGACAGATGGGAGCCTGGGTTCAGCAAAGGGTTCCTGCCCGAGGAAATCTGCTTCCTCCTGCAACAGAGGGGGGTGGGTATAATCAGCCACATTAAGTTTCAGCACTTGCGTTCCTCACAGCACGTGACCAAGAGCTTGGTAAAGGCAAACCCAGAACCGGTGAAGTTATTTGAAGGACACGTGTCAAACAAATACTGTCTAACGTAGTCCAGTAAGACGAATGCAGAGAATCTAGTAGTTGCCACTACACTGGCCCCTCCCACACCAGAATTTATCAATTTGTAAAACAGAAAAGACAGAAGACACCAGGTGTTGAAAAGAATGTTAAACAGCTGAAACTCAAATGTGTTGCTGGTGAAAGTATAAATTGATATATTCATTTTGGAAAAAATAAGATGTTGGGTGGCATCTACAAAAGCTGAAAACAACTCATGAGCCAAGATTCCCACGCCTAGAAATATGTGCATGAGTGTGCTTATCAAATGAAATGCTCTAAGCTGCACTGTTTGTAAAAGCCAAAAATGGTCCACCACCCAAATATGCTCATGGTAAGGAATGAATAGATAGATTGCTGTATGTTAATGTTATACAATGAGTAATATCCAGTGATGCAAATGAACACTGCAGCTCAGTGCCTCCAACATGGATTGATTTCACAGGCCATATTGAAGCCCAAGTGTAAAGAGTGGGTACTGTGTGGTTCCACTTACCTGAAGTTGAAGAACAGGTCGTGCTCACCTGCAGCGTTACTGGTCAGTCTCATGTCCTCAGAAATGCATCCTTTCCTTCGTCCTCCCTTGGGAGAAGAGTGTATTTTGGATGCAGGTTTCCCCAGTGGAGTTCTAACTCTTGATGTGCTTGCTCATCACATGGGTTATTTACTTTGTAAAGATATTATTTAACATATAATTTTGATTCATGCACTTTTCCGTTTGCATGTGTAAATAGAAATTTCCCTGAATATATTTAAAAGAAAGAAAGGGAAGGTACTACACGCAACGAAAAAGAAAACAAACAAACAAAAATCCCAGCACATCCAGAACAACAAACAGAAGAAAAACCAAAACATTGGTGCAGGTGTAGAGAAAGCCAATGGCTTCCTTTTTGCAAATCCAGTGGATTATGACTTTTTGTTTTCAATAAAATTTAAGGAGGTCCTACCAAACAACTTTTGATAATAATGATTTGTGATATAAAACTAAGTAAGAGAATCGAGAGAGATTGCTGTAACAGAACAACTTCCTTTAACATCTACTTATTTACATTAAGTTTTCTTAGGGCTTACCTCTATAAAAAATTTTTAAAAGCAATAAATTTGGTACTAAAGCTTTTGTCTTTCTACCAACACATGAACAATGAAAAATGCCTTATCGGTATCATTAATTGATACATTGCTAATGAAATGCTACCTTTTGTGTTTAAAATTGATTATCAAATGTTTTGTTATATTGTTTAATTATACATCAGTAAGAAATTGACAACTAAATCAAATTGACCATTTTGATCTGTGGAGATGTATGGTCACAGGAAATTTAAAAATGAAAATTCGGTACCAATGAGCGTCATAGGATTATTCATGAAGGACTTCCAAACAGAAAAAAATATCTTCTATTAAAGTACTTTTTTGTAGGCCTTGTAGACTGGCAGTAATAGTTGAAAGAGAAGAAGAAATGAAGTAAATTTGTCAAGTAGTCATGTACTTTTTAGATAAATATTCGAAAGCATCAAGTTACTGTGGTGATATTCTCTTGGAACTGAGTGAAAGTGGTGTTTTATTTAAGGACATTTTTACCATCATTTGTGTGTCATATACATGCAGGGGTTGAGGATAAATTTTAGGTTTTTAATGAAGACGTGCAAAGAGATTCCTTGAAGGAAGTGCAAGTGGAGTTTCACACCGGAAGGCAGAGTCTGGCTTCTGGAGGATGAAGCAAGGCAGTGGTGGGGGCTGGTTAAAAGAGAAGGTGGAGGGCGGGAAGGAAGGTTAGGAAGGTTCTGACACCGTCCAGGGTGTGGGCAGGAGGCGGGGCAGGACAGCAGTGTCTGGGTTCCGGCTTGGGGGACTTGACCACTCCCAGAAACGCGAGTCGCACGATGGAGCACACACTTGGGACCTGCAGTGCGCTCTGTTTCTGTGCAGTTCAGTGTCTCGCTGTTCTGTTCCCCGCACTCTGGCCACGGCATTCCACCAGCTGAGACAAGGAGGGACACTGTTTGTGACACACTGTCTGGCAGCCACAAGGCAGGGCCGAGCCTCTGGGACTGTTTGGCGCTGCGTTGGCAGGCATGCCGGCGTGCGCGCGGACTCCGAGGGCAAGGCCTGGACCTTCCCCTGTGGCTCCGGGGAGACGTTTCCTGGCACGGTCTTGGTCTATGCGGCTCTCGTTCTCCGCCAGAGTTACGTCGTAGGTTATTCAAATTCAGTCGATCTTTCTGCTCTTTCCCTCAGATCGTCTTTGAAAACGGTAAATAAAATCACGATTTGCAGGAATTCCTGGGGACCTCCACTCCGCCCCTCTTCTTTTAGTACACAAAGAACGAGATGGACTTTCACATTAATATTTATTCCTATTCTCACTTCTTTCTACTCCTGATTTTCACTCGTACGTTTTCATTTCCTCAGTTTCTTTCTGTTTTTGGGTGCCATACGTTTCCTTGGCAGGCTAATTTTCAAAGTAAGCACAAACACACATGCACACAAACACAAATGCATATTATTATAAATGTATGTGATTAGCACCTACTTTGTCAGATGTATACTCAAAAAAATTGTAAAAAACCTTAGTCTTTACAATAAGTTAGCTCATAGTCTAGCAGGAAATAAAGAGATGTAAGCAAACAATTAAACTAGGGTAAGATAATTACAAAACCAACAAAATAACATTTTCATGAAGAAAGAAGTAATTGCAGAGAATTTGGAAATTGCTGCTGTATAGATGATATTAGCTCCAAGAAAACTTCCGGATTCCCTCGTGTAAGCTAAAGATGAGTCCTTCTTGGCAGAAATGGAGTTTGTAGAAGTTAGTTCAGGTCATTAAAAATAAGTTAACTGTAGAAGCATATATTCTGGTGAATACAATGTATTATATTTGAAATATTCAGTGAGATTCAGATTGAGTTATGGATTTATAAGGCTTTATAATTTTCAGAAATGACAATTTTCCCTGAAATTCTAAAGATATTCTGGCTAGATAAAAAAATTACTTATATTATTAGATAAAACACTTGAATATTCATCTCAATTTAGAGTAATTGCTTTGTCTAAAAATTACCTGAGAGAAATAAATCTAAGGCTTATTTTTATATTAGCAATTTTTATTCAATACCTAATTGATATTACTGTGATAATACCAAAAAGGCCTATTTTTAAAGTTTATTTGCACATAGCACTTGTAAATTACTGAGAGAAGTTATTAAATGAGATTTGTATAACATTTTTGGTTATGTTTTACTCAGTTATAATGAACTTGTATAGAATTTAAATGTAAAATACCTTTATTACTATACTTCTTCAAGAAACTATGGTTCCTCTAGCCAATTCTTCCAGGTTTAGTAAATTAAGCAATCCGATCACTTTTGTTGGTAATCGATTGTGGTAGATGTTAGCTAATTAGATGCTTCATATTCGGAGAAGTGATCTGGTCCCTAACTCCATATACTTTATTTTAATCTTATTGTGCTTTTCAGAAAAATATATGCTCACATACAACTGAAGCTTTGCATCTATTTTCAGCATATTTATAAATTCCTTGAAGTCCACCTCCTATTATACTGCTACTACCAGTACTGTGGCTGCTACTGCTACTGTTACTAGAATTGTTACCACTGCTCTTTATTAAGCAACTACTGTATCCCAGGCCCTTTCCTGGTGGCACGAGTAGATTATCTCCTTTAAGACTCATTAAACATCTTTCTGAGAAATATCAATGCAGCGAGCCTGTGTGTGTGTCTGTGTGCTTATAAATCCAGTAATAGACAGATACATTATAAATGTGTGTTTCCTAGACAGGAAGACATAAGGACATCTGATTTTCTGAAAATTAGTGTCCTAGCTGGTTTCCAATCACACAGCTACTGTTCCATGTTCCTCAGAGGATATGGAGGCAAATTGCATGTACGACTTTTATACATGTGTGCTCATTAGGTCGGTGAAAATTTTCAACTCCAACGCACCATATACCTCTGTGGAAGGGATTTGCCCCTTTGCATCTCAGTCTGAAGGCAGCTTCCCAACACATCTGCGAGGAGGCAGTTGGGAGCATTTTACACACGGGATCATTCCCATGGGATTATGCGGGTTGCAGGGGAACTCTGAACTCACATGGGAAGGGGCTGATTTTCCCTGTACGCTTGGTCTCTCAGAACGGGCTGTGGCCACGCGAAGCAAGCAGGGGCTGATCCCTGGAGGAGACAAGTGCTGACGCTGAGTGTGTTTCTCCCCCAGCGGTGCCTTGCCCCAGCATTGAAGCCCAGCTCTCGGAACATGTCATCTGGAGACTGGTCTCGGGGTCTCTGAACGAGTATGGGGCCCAGGTGCTGCTGAGCTGCAGTCCCGGCTACTATTTGGAGGGCCGAAGGCTCGTCCAGTGCCAAGCCAATGGGACGTGGAGTGGGGGAGAGGAGAGGCCCGGCTGTAAAGGTGAGTGACAAGCGCAGTGCCACCCGGTGCTCAATGACTGAACTGCTTACATCCGTGGAATCCCCCTTCGATGGCATTATACTATGTCATCCTCCTATAAGATCAAAGCTAGTCCTATAGGCCAAAGGCATGTGGCATGTCCTTCATCACAAGGAAAGATATGCATTTTTATGTGACATACTTCAAACATAACTTCGCTAGATTAAAAGTTAAATGTTGCCTTTTCCTTGTTCATGATCACTTTTTATAAACTTTAAAGTATTAGAATATTCAGATATTTCAGATCAGCTTGAAAGCAAAGCAGGCATACGTTTCAAAAGATAATTTTTATTCTACCCACTGGACATTGGAAAGTCCTAACTAGGATCTTGGGAAATCGTGTTTACGCCGAAGATACTGTGTTTCTCGAATAATCACTGTCTGGAAAGAGGAGATGATAATTCTCTTGGGTACAAGATAAGTGGTTAAAGGCTTTGAGTGAGTTTCATACGAAATATGAATAATTAGAAAAAAATAAAACAATATTAGTATTGTTTGGAGCGCTGGTCAATCCAGACATACTTAATAATACAATCCGCCGTTGATTGTTCACAGGGAATTGTCATGCAGAGAAACAAGTTGTGAGACCAGTGTATAATTCATGAGGTACACAGCTTAGTAAGGATAAGCCAGAATTCAAAAAAAGAGAAAAAACAATGAATGCTTACCTACCTTTGATGTTAATTTTAATCCGACATTTAACAGAGCAAATGTTCATTATGCACGTACCATGTTTCCCTGAAAATAAGACAGGGTTATATATATATATAATTTTCCTCAAGAAGACACCCTAGGGCTTATTTTCAGGGGATATGTTATTTTTTTTTAAGTAAGTTACAACAATCTACATTTATTCAAATATAGTGAAGTCGTCTTCTTCTGGAACATCATCATCACTCTCCAAACCCCAAATTCCATCCTGAATTCCTTGCGACTCTATTTCCTTTAGAACCATTGGCCTCAATCTCTCACGTTGAACAATAGAGCTCTTCTGGGGCAGATGAGAAGGGCTGCTCGGCTTCTTTCCCGCTCCGAGACAAAAATGCATGGGTTGTGCAGATGCCCTGTGTAGCCACGCCATCACTAGGTCTTATTTTTGGGGTAGGGCTTCTATTGTGCAAATGCTTAGAAATCCTGCTAGGGCTTATTTTATGGGTAGGTCTTATTTTCAGGGAAACACGGTACTACAGACTCTTCTCCAGGAGCACAGAGATAAATTAGGAGGGATCGCTGACCTCAAGGAGTTCCAAATTCTGGTTTCCCCGGGATAGCCCTGCAGGAAGCCTCTTTCCCGGGTGATTGTCAGTGGCTCCTGGTCATTCTGACAAGTGTCCTGGTTTGCATAATTAATGATCACTGTTCACAGAGTTTGTAGCGAATTTCCTCTCTGCTACACTTCCGCCACGTGGCAAACAGCCTCCTCCCCGACAGGCTTGCTGGTCCTTCACGTCTACCCACCCTTGAATGTCAACTTGTGACTTGGGGACTCCAGTGGCAGGGCCACCGAGGCACGAGGAGAAGGGTTTGGAAGCGCTTACCTAATGCCTCTTTCAGACCCTCACAGCCAAGGTCATTTTGCTGGTTTCAAACCAGAAATAGGATCTTAAAAATAGACACGCATTGACTCCCGGGGGCTGGGGCGGGGTCCCTGTCTGCACGTGGCAGGGACAGGCAGGATGGATGCAGGCTGTGCCTGTTATGCTCATGACTCAAACCGCCGTTGCAGAAGAATTTACACTGGCGTTTGAGAGCCTTCTGTGTAAGGGAATGCTCACGGAAACCAGGCTTCCCTGTGTCTTGCAGCAGACTGGTTAGCAGCTGAGCACCAACTGCATTCGGGAAAAGAAGGCAAAGTCCTTGATTAGCATTACTGCGTCCAGCTTCCGACGTTCTAGAAAGTCTGTCTCGCTGACTCTAAGCTCGCTGTATTCTGGTGGTTCCGATACAGAGCTGGGCACAGGGGCCGCGACCCCTCACCCCTTTCTCCTCCCGTACCCAGCCGTGTCTCGGAACATGCGTTTATCTCGAAAACTGCCATCTGTTCCTGGCCTCCCACGCCAGGCACGGGCTGTCCTCGCACTTGGTTATTCGTCTCTTGAATGTCATCATGGACCTGTGGCATTTTTCCAGAGTGGGTGGATTCTCACTGAAGCCACTCTGTGCTTTTTTTGTTGTTGTTATTTTTGTCTTTTTAATCCGTGTTTGCGGTTCAGATGGTCACAATGTGGCCAGGGGGAGTCCCTGCCACACGGCTTCTTCAGTTTTGTCCTTCTGACACCTCGGAAAGGTCCTTGTGTTGTCATAACGCCAGGACGGTCTGTGCTCGTCTGGAGTGTTTCCTGCCGACGTGAAATCAGCTGCTCTCCGAGGAGCCCTGGTGCCTTTTGGTGGAGAACGGTGTTAGAGACGAAATCTGTGTCCGGGGAAGGAGCTCTGCCATGAGTGTGACCAACGGGAAAGCTGACACAGAGTTTAGTGTCACCCCCTGACCCAGCCTGAGCTTTTCTGTTTGTTTTCTTTTCCCCCAAAAGCCCTGATATTGATATTGTCCATTTATTTCTATATCTACCTTTTGTGTGTGTGTACTGAATTCTCACTAACAAAAGCTTGTGAAAGCCTCTCTCCACTTTTAGGAAATGTAAATGTTGTATTAGATATGGGGATACTTGACTTTGTGTTTAAATTGCGGTGCTGCCTGAAATCTCAGAAGACTTTATCACCCACTGCTGCTGCCCTTCTCCCCTCTTGCCTAAGTGTTTTTGGAATGACGTCAAAGTACAGGAGTCTAGAAACATCCGTCATCAACATTCGCAGTAAGCCCTCTATGAAAAACGCATTGCTGAGAACATCCTGACGTTGAATTGTCTTGATAATGAACACAAGTGAATGCCCAACTAACATCAGATAACACAGGAACAGCCCGTTGCCCTAGAGACAGCTGATTTCACGTCTGAACGTTTTCGCTTTGAGTGAGAACTTCTTTCTGACTTATATCCAGGGACTGATCTTGGCTCTGTCCCTCTAGGCCTAATAAAACAATCCCAGACTCTGGTCTACACAGCATGGCCTCATGTATTTGAAAACAGCCGCTGTGAGCCCTCTGAGCCGTCGTCGTTCATGGTAAAGAGCCCACGCCAGCCCTCACTCCGCATGCCGGTCTGCAGGTCCGCCGGGCCTTTCCAGCTAGAACACGTTTGAAAGCACCTGCTCTTGACCTTATACTTATTTATCACACTCATAAGTAATCTGTGGATAGGAGCGCTGATTTTACAGGTATGAGAAATAATATGCTACATTGAGGTTTTTTGTTTTGTTTTTTTTTTTTTAAATCAGAGTAAATTTCAATGTAGATGGTAGCATTGAAGGGAAGAGGGAAAGCAGGTTTTCCCATGGGAAGGGAGGCAGTGGCTTGCGAGCCCACGGCGATCAATCCATCAACGCACTGCGCTGGCAAGTCGGGGGCGTCCTGGATGCCATCAGCGGAGCATCTTGCATTTGCAAGGACTTGCTCTGAGAGACCAAGGGAGGCACTTGGGACTGTGAATATTATTCATAGTGCATTTTTAATGGAAGAGGGTGAAAAAAATGCATTCATTTTTCTTTCTTTTCAGAAACTTCGGGGGAGAGGGCAACATGGAAATAGGGCTTTCTCTGTGCTGTTTGCAAAGGTTATTTTTAGTGGTTCTCCAAAGCGTTGCTGCTGTTCTCACCAGTGTGTCGGGTTTGCTACCCAAGGAAATGCTAGCCCAGAACCCGCTCGTCCAGCTGTTGGAAAGCTAGCACTTTGTTGCATTAGTTTTTCACAATGCAGTAAACCTTATTAAGGGGAAAAACTTAAAATAGTCACCAGAAATATTTTCAACAGTTGCAACAGACACAGGTGCAACAGCAGAGGGTGGCTTCCTGGGGCGCTTTGCAGGTGCACTGGGACTCCCAGAGGAACCACACACAAGTCTCATTGTTATTCCACGCTTCCCTGACGAGCCCTGAAGTTTCAAGACAAGATCCAATTATCTTAGATGGCTACAAATGGATCTTCAAATATCATGGTTCAAGGCAAAGTTCACGCTGTGTTTGGGGAACGGCTTAATGAAAAGTTCATGACAAACGGTAAAAATCTAAATCCTGCTCGAATATCATTGACATTTGGCGCAGCAAACATGTTAGCCATATTGCCAAAGGCATGAGATATGACACCCTCATAGTTTAAGAATCCCCAAACTCATCCATCACGGAGGCTTTTTCAGTGACAATAACGTTCTGATCGCGATGTGCTCCCAAGTCGAGCTTCCGGACTTCTGCCGAGCAACCTCCCTGAGAACCTGGCCTGGCTGTGTCCTTCTGACCTTTTATACTGAGCCATCGTCGGGTGAAATCAGCTTAATTAAAAGGGATGATCTCAGTGGTACACGCATAAAATGTTTTCTTCACTCAACTTGAAAGATATTTGCACATTTTTATTCAATGTATAAAATAGGTCCTGATTTATTACTAATCCTGATTGAGCCCCATTATGTACAAATGGCTTGAGGCACTGCCATCGTCCTCTCTTTGAGTCCAGCATACAACCCCGCACGGTAGCCGCTACTATCCACCCAAAACAGGGCCCCCGCACGGTAGCCGCTACTATCCACCCAAAACAGGGCCCGGTGTGACGTTTAGGAAGTTGGCCAGACTCACCCTAGCTGGTACTTGGAGGACTAGGCTTGACTCCGGGCAGCCCACAGCAGGATCCGAGTTTTGCATCACTGTGTTTTATTGGCTCCTGTCAGTTTACTATTAATGAGGACTTGTTCACTATTAATAAGTATGTGCCGCCCTGCCAGCTTTTCCCGGAGCGCCGAGCAAATCAGAACTCATGGGGAGCTCTTCACACTCCACTCTGAATGCTTTTTCCTAACACTTTCCTTCTTGCCTGTACCCCCATGGTATTCTGAAATTTAAATTAAATAAATAACTAGAAGAGTCAGAAAATTTAAGACCCACTCGAGCCCCCGAGGAGAGGCTGCAGCCGGACGGCTGCGTGGCTTCCTCCCTTCTCCGCGAGGCTGTGGTTTTCCGCGCTGAGGCCTTTGTGGGTCTGAAGGGCAGAGATCCAAGTGGTGTGGTAAGGACATGCAGCCAGGGCGCCCGTGGGCCTGTCTCCTAAACCAGAGTGCGATTGCGGGTGGGCGTGGGCGTGAGCAACAGTTGTGCTGGGACAGCAGGTGTGGGTGTGGGTGCAGGGTCACCACGCCTGTGGGCACTGAAGGTCTAGCTCATACCTGCAGTTTTTAATTTCCTGGGTGGCTCCCCAAGTCCCATGTGGTGGTCTGTGCTCTTTTGGGGCAGCGACTTACACGAATGACTCAAAGAACAAAGCAGCCCAACACCACCTCTGCAGCCGGAAGTCCTAGATTCCAGTCTCGCTTACTCTGTCCGGGCTGATTGGTTCTGGCGGTGACAATGCACATCCCTCACGTCTGATGGCTCATGGAGGAGTTCACTAAGATGACATCCCCTCGGTCTCCATTCGGGCGGAACAGCAGACAGACTGCCGACTTACTCCATGGGCATGCTCGTAGGTGATGGGTTTGCGTGCTGCGTATTTTTTCTAGAAAGTTTTAGCCACTCGTGAGGATGAATATATAAATAACAGGTCATTGAAGGGATCTAGAATGTTTTGGAACCCACTCTCTCAACTTTTAAGTTTTCATTGCAAGGACGTGAGAGAAGGAACAGGAAGCTGCCTACATGACTGGTCTACCCAGCCCTAAGCAGACATCCCTGGCCCATGTTTCTCATGAAAATTAAGACTAAACATTGGTGCTTTTTTTTTTTTTAAAAGATGAGAGTAATCCACGAATATTGACATCTGAAATGATGTTCACTTTATTGAAATCTGCAATGATGTTCACTTTATCGTTTTTCCCTTCTAGTGATCTCATGTGGGAGCCTGTCTTTTCCCCCGAACGGTAACAAGATCGGGACGTTGACGGTTTATGGAGCCACAGCTATTTTCACGTGCAACACGGGCTACACCCTCGTGGGCTCTCACGTCAGAGAGTGCCTGGCAAACGGACTCTGGAGCGGGACCGAAACTCGATGTCTGGGTAACTCAATCTGCTATTCTGGCACTTATTTAATTAAGATGCAACTTCAAAAACAGACGACGGCAGGTAACACATACCACTTTTTGCCGTAAATGTTGGGACGCTGCCAAGTCCTACCTGGGGTCTCAGTGCTGCAATTCACAATGTGAGGTCTTCTCCGAGCACCTAAAGGGTTTTTTGTTTTATTTTTATTTCGGCATATTATGGGGGTACAGATCTTAAGGTTTCAATAAATGCCCATTTCCCTAAAGGGGTTTTATTTGTGGTCTGAGCAGCAAATGAAAGCCACATATTGCTGTGAGTGACAGAAAGACTCTTTTATAGGGTGCAGAGAACATCATTATGCTCAAGTGCTGTCATGACTGTAAGGCACACAAAAGTGATTTCAAAAATACTATACATTTTATCTTTCTACAAAGTTAAATATGTTGGCAAATTAAAGTGATATTAAAATCAACATAAGCACAGTAAATTATTTAAGAAGAAATAATTTGGCCTTCTTTTTCCCAATGATTAAATGATCCTGCATGATAATTTTAAAAAATGAGTTGAAGAATGTTTTGAATAAATGCATGAACATTCTTAAATGAGCGGTTTAACCTATAGTAGTTACTAAAGGGTGCTCCTGGCAGGGTTACCAGTCATTCGTAAAATACCTTAACTGGCGAAAGTCCTTTGGAATCTTCTCTGTGATTTTTCTGTAGTGTTGTAATCATGCAAAGCCATAGAAGCTGGAAGGTTTAATATTCTGAATCTTCATGAGCTAGGATCACTTCAGGAACTAAGCCAGGACCAGGGAACTTTGAATAATAAAGCCTGTTCTCCTTTTTATTTGGGACAATTTGAAAAAAAAGAGGCTCAAAGTTGTAAACTCCGAGAAAAATCAACCACTAAAAGAAGGTTCTCACACATATGCATGAAATGTAGTACTTAACTCTTTCTGTTTATATATGTGTAATTTTATTATTTAATATATTTAATACATTGTATATTACTGAACACACATATATCTTGTTGTTGGACATAGTCATTGCAGTCTTCAGCCGACCATGAAATTTCCTTGGAATATATGTGGTACTTTCTGTACAGGGTCACCAGTGCTTCTGAGATTTTTTATGCATTCCTAAATGTTCTTATGCAATTGGTCAGCCCCAGAGTAGCACTCTTTTGTGGGCAGCTGTGGTATGGACCAGGTCCTCTCTTGTCAACTCCAGTGGGACTTGTCACTATAGAAGGGAACTGAGTGACCTAAGACACTTACATCTCTGGTAGTGATTGTAAGGATGGGGATTAATAACAACTTACACCTAATCCCTGCTCTACTGATTACAAACACCACCCGAACCTTGTCTCACCAGCGATTACCAATACAGGATGTGGCAAAGGCCACTGTTGGAGCCTTGGGGATTCTAAGTGGCATGTTTGGTTTGTATAGCTGTTAATTCATGGGTCAGCACAAGTCTTATTGATCCACAACAAGCCCTTACCTACCCTCTGCTGTTCTTCTGTGTGAAGGTCAGGACTTCGATAGAGAAACAGTGAGATGTGTACTGAATAACTGGCTGTCTGGAGATATCCCCAAACACGACCTTAGTCGTACACGATACCCCCCGGGAGCTTTGGGAAGATGATTTGCTCAGAAATGAGTCCGTTTGCTCAGAAGAAAATTAAACTGCAAATAACGGGGAAGAAAAATGCCCAGATTATAGTGTATAATATGTTTATGTTTTAGGAATTAGATACAGAACATAAGGAATAATACAATGGTAGGAGGCACAGAGTATTAAAAAAAAATTAGAGAAGGATTAGAAATAACACATAGCCACCTATATGCACATACTAATGGGTAACTCATGAGTAATATTTACAGATAAGAAAAAGCATGGAGAAATGAGGAATGTGCCAACATCATTAAACCAATTAAATATCAAAAGCAGCATTTACATCTGAGATGTTGGATTATAGAACACAGACTTCTTCACAATATAACTAGTGCTGCTGAGTAAATTTTGGGTTCCTTTGTCAATGTTCTCTCTCAGAAGGAGGGTGCAGTATGAGCCGGTTGCACTGCTGTGCTAATTCTGACCAACACGCTGAGTGAGCAGAAGGGAGAGGAGCGAGGCTATGGCACTATAGTCCTGTGCCACTCCCGACCCCAAGGCACCTGCCCAAACAGGAGCCCAGCGCCTGTTCTGCCTGGCTAGTTTTGCCCTGTTTCTGTGTGGCCCCCAGGATTTGCCATTTGTATTAACCCTTTGCCTGTTTCCGTTGTTAAGACCTGCTTGGAAATGGCTCTGAGTCTCTACCAAGCTCTGTGACCGTGGGTAACCTTCAGGCTGTCTGGACCGAGTGGGGGTGAACTAGACAGTCCTTGCAGGAAATGACTTACACTAACATGCAGCCAGGTGGTGAGGATATTTAAAATTTCTGCTAACAATCTGTATAATCCCGTGGCTTCAACTCTAAAGAAGTGGCCCTGCAACAAAAAGAAACAACTCCCAAAACTGTGACTTTCAGAAAGAAATCACCCCAGTGAGGAAGAGACGGGAGTTGCCCAAACAGACACGGGCACACCAGGTTTTCTTCTGAAATTCAATTTGCGAAGCAGTTCAGCTGTCCCAGGACATGTTTAAGAGAATGAAATATAGTTTTAAGGACAGTGTAGTGAAGGACAAATCCACCATGAGTTGGGAACAATGCAAAAGGTTCAGGACCATAAAAAGACCCTGTAAATCATGTTTGAAGTGATAGCCAAGTTCACACGCTGCTATCGGCACTGAAACCCCGGGGGACAGGGCAAAGCAGCGGGCAGACCGCAGCGCCCCCTCCCGCCGCTCTCTCTTCCCATTAAGAGACATCGTTATGGCAGCACAAAGGCTATACCTGCTTTTTGGATTTTTTTCGTCAAAAACTGGCCCCGTGGAGTGAAAGGAAGCTTATTAAAGAGAACTTCAGAATGTCTAACCAAGTTGAGTCTCCTGCCTAGCACGCGATCAGAGCCAGCTGAGGGACTCGCATAGACATCGCTGGATGGCTGGCAGTGTTCCTTGTGGGCACTATCAAAGGGAAGTGCTCCGGAGCTAGGTGGAGATCTCGTGCGGGCTTTCACACCATTGGAAAAGAAGTGAGCTGTCAGAAACTCTGGATTAACTTGGTGATATGTAGAGCAGATACTCAACAGCTCTCTGCAAGTAACTTTGGGATGCGTGTTCATGGTTTCACAGGACAACATGCCAGCGTGGACCCATGTTTTTGTTTGAGGTAGCTACAAGATAGGTGTTTAGGAATATTCTTTAGAAAGGGTGTTTCTGGATCTTCAGCCTTTATTCATATCTTTTGGTCAGGGCACGATAACGATACCAGTGGAAGGAAAGAGTGAACATTCGATGACAGATTCAGAAACTCAAATTTTAATGATAGGTCAAATACATTACACAATAATAGGAGTTAATGTGATATTTAGCTCAAGGTAAAAAAATAAAATAAAATAAAATAACTTCAAATGTGTATGATGAGAAGGAAATTTGGAAGTCATAAGCATAAAAGCAAAGAAATCGAGTATTTTGGATAAGAAGAGGCTCAGACGTGCAGTGTGGTCTGATGCGGACTCTTTGTGAGTCTTGCTAGTGGCACATCACATATCCACCCTCTGTTGGCCCCAGTGCCCCGTCCAGAATCACAGTCTCAGTTCTGTAAACAGTTTTGACGGGCTATGGAGGGATTGGCTTGTGTCTGCCGTGAGAGCTCTGGTGACCATGGTCTCTGAGGAACAAGAAATTTCGATATTGGTTTGGCTGAAAGAAGAGTTAGGAAGTTATTGATAGCTATTTTCAAACGTTTAAAATGCTATGAGGGGCCGGGCACGGTGGCTCATGCCGGTAATCCTAGCACTCTGGGAGGCTGAGGCAGGCAGATTGCTCAGGGTCAGGAGTTCGAAACCAGCCTGAGCAGGAACAAGACCCCGTCTCTACTAAAAATAGAAAGAAATTAATCAGACAACTAAAAATATATAGAAAAAATTAGCCGGGCATGGTGGCGCATGCCTGTAGTCCCAGCTACTTGGGAGGCTGAGGCAGGAGGATCTCTTGAGCTCAGGAATCTGAGGTTGCTGTGAGCGAGGCTGATGCCATGGCACTTTAGCCCAGGCAAGAGAGTGAGACTCTGACTAAAAAAAAAAATGCTATTAGGTGAAAGATGGAATAAACCAGTTGTGAAAAATCATTTTCCTTATCAATGCCAGCCCTGATGGATGGGCAGAGTCTCCATGAAACCTGTGCTGAGATCTAAGTCTCAATAATGGATCTGTGGTTAGACAAAAAAGAAACAAAAAATAAAACTAATTATATACCGCTTCCAAGGGCAAGGACTAGGGTGGGTGCTGCCATTGACAATACATATTTTAGTTTGTTGATTTGTAATAGCAGATACTGTGTACAGAAAATAAAAAATAGCTTTTGCACTCAATACAAGAAATATCTCCCCTTATTTATGTACTTTTTAACATGGTAGGTCTGTCTGGCAATGCAATGAAGACTTTATGCAGAAGGCAGGTGCCCTCTGAAGTAGTTCTTTGGCAAAGTTCCCTGGGCTCTGGGCTGGATTAGCCTAGGTCTGTTATGTTTTACATCATAAAGCAAGATACCTTGGCAAAAGCATTGTTCCAAATTGTGGGTGCAGTATCTCATTTATTTTTAGGACTGCTACCGTGTTTCCTCGAAAGTAAGATATTTGTCCTCAAGATAGACACCCTAGAGCTTATTTTGGGGGGATGTGTTATTTTTTTTAAGTACTGTACAACAATCTACATTTATTCAAATATAGTTAAGTCGTCTTCTTCTGGAACATCGTCATAGTAAAATGGCAGCCACAGCTTTCCTTCTTCCCCCTGGGGACACACAATACCTAAAGCGGAGCGTCCCCTCCTCACTGCACTGAGGAGACTTCCCCTCAAAGCCTCAGCTCGCAGCACGCACAGGGTGGCCGGGACCTGACAGGGGGAG